TATTATATATATATATATATATATATATATATATACATATTCCGACTTCGTCCCAAGAGCATAAAACGTAATGCAGTTTCTCTAAATAATGAGAATGCACTATGACAAGCCGACTGAAGCTGTCTCTAGCCTTGTCGTCCAAGTACTTGTGTTACCAATGTATATGCCATGCAGGATGATTCACGATTGTGCGACATAAATTTAGGATTTACACTCCGATATAATTTCATCGAATTTACTTAAATTACGATTATGTTTCGGAGATTACAGAGCTGCAAGAAAAAAATTACGAGAGTGACACGAAATAGATGAATTAGGGATGCTCGCAGAAATACATGTATTTAAGCACCGATTGACGAAGAATTTCATTGAGGATTGCACTGAAGACTGTTTCTCGGTGAATTCATCACGTTCGTTACAGAAATTATAATACTGATCGCGCATTTTGCCATCTACATAATCGCTAATATCTCACATCGTATTCAATTAATCCGGCCACGTTCGAAAGCCCTTTCGAACGGCTCCCGTGATGCGCATTACATAGCACCGCGTCGTAATACAAACCCATGTAATCACACCACGTAATCACGACATAATTGCGGTAACGCGTGTAACTGTGCGCGGTATAACTGTGCGTGAATTTGGTTCTAATTAGATGATAAAATCATGTGTAATGTAAGCTACATACATCGGTAAGACGATTATCAAAAACAACGAGAAGAAAGAAGAAATAGAAGAAATTTGTAATTTCTGTTCTTTCAAATAATAGAAGATGATAAACTAAGCAAGAAATTCGTTTTTTTTTTTAAGAGAAACCTGATAAGACGATTAGATTTACACGTGTAAGTATAAACAGTTTCGACATAAATTATTATTAAATATTTTTACACTCTTTTGTGATCCCCCTTGAATACAGAAATCATCTGTCTTCTAGGATTTGGAGAACCGCAAAGAAACGCGTCCCTTATATCGTCTGTAATGAATATTTATACGGCGGCACAGAGCGGAAGTTTTTCGTCGGTGGACTTATACTGGTCGTCGTAAACCCCGAAGGATACGTCGGCTCGCGCCTCAATTTAAGGCCGGCACGCAAACCGAGAGGGTTTTACCGAAACAAAATGCTCTCGGGTCGAAATGCTGCGGGTTACTTTACTAATCGTAGATTCTGACAGCGATATAAGCGTCTCTCACCGCAGGCCATACGAACGCTAATGTACCCGCCGGCGCGGCGCGGCGCGGCGTGGCGGCAAAGCGGCAGGCGCGATAATGCATCCGCGGATCGCGACGACTAAATAAATTCCGGATAATCGCGCGGCTGGGAATACGGAGCGCGCTCAGACGCGAGATATTCTCGCCTGAGCGTGAATCTCGGATCGCTTTGCGTTTACCGGAAATCTCTGGAGACATATAAGCGAGAAGGATCGCCGACGGATGCCTCGCGGCGCTTGGCGAAAGCAACTTTGACATCAAACTTCCGCTTGTCTCCATTCGTCATACAAATAATCGTAAACTTAACGCTGGCAATTTATCGATTCCGCGGAACGACAACGAATCATACTTATATGAACTTTTAACGTCCGTAATTTTGTCTCAAGAGTCATTCGATTGTATAAACAGTATAAACAATTCTTTTTATATATAACTTTTTTTATAAATAAAATTAATTCTGTATAAAATTGCCTCTTTTATTTTTTTATTGTTTTCGGGGCTAAATAAAGATCGTATAAAGATAATCAAAAATTTATACAACGATGTTCGGAATTCAAATTTCAGATAAAAAAAAGATTCCAACTTTTTTTTATCGATTA